TGAAATGAATGAGTCTCTATAATATTTAATATAAATGGAACTGGCAGTCACAGAATGCACCGCCGTTTTAATCTGGAGGTTGGTGCTTTGATTTTAAGGTGGGGGTTTAATGGAGAACAAAGGATGCCAAGGCATGTGCCATAATCAAAATAGGTATTTTTAAGGACTAGAAAAAAACAAGGAGAAGGAGGTGTTCTGAGTGCAGTCCTGAGTAAAGAGATCTAAATAGAGAGCCCATTAAGTAATACCTCAGAACCAGAAAGCAAAATGACTGGAAAATTAGTGCACTGTTTTATTGTGAAAGCTGATGAAAAGGCAAAAAAGTTTGCAAAAGGCACTCATTGTGCAATCAAAGTGCCTAGGCAGAAATCAGTTTTTCTCAGATTGAGCCAAATCCCTGCCAAGACAAATACATTGATTTTCCCATTAGTTGCAATGGAACAGTGGTTCTTTACATTGGCGCAGCGCTTGACCCTCTCCCAGCTTCTCACACCCAAGCTGGACATATTTCTTGAAAGTCTTAATTTAGATATGCTTTTCAAAATCTAATTAAACTGACTAGCACTTAGTGACCGTAGTCCAGGTTGTGCTATCCTTCCCGCCTGGTCTGAGTGCCTGCAACCCAGGAGGAGCAGACAGAGAACCACCTACTGCATAAATTCCCAGGAAAGTGATGAAGCCAAAGGAAGGAAACCAAAATCTGTGGGGCAAACATCTTTCCATTGCTTTAGACCAAATCAAGCGAGGCATTAGGGGTGGTGGGCACTTCCCCTTAGGGGATGCTTTGCTGGCATAAATCTCCAAATGGCATCAAGTCCCACAGCCTGCTGCATTGCAAAGGCACGTTAGTGACACTGCCCTCTTTAGATAGATGGGGAAACTGAGGCACCAAGCACCTAGCTATCTGTCTGGCCCCTGCTAGTCAGTGCAGGGAGCAGCAGAAGCAAGAATAAAATAAAGGACTCCCACCTTATACATAGATCTTTGGGGAAAAAAAAGATGCCACCACTTCAGGAAACAGAGGTGCACTTATTAATGCAACATTGTGATTGCATGCAGTCGGCAAGAAACAGCTCCGAGCACCTACCAAGAGGGTTGAAATCCAGAAGATGATCACCCAGATGGTCCACATAGTCAGCCACAGTCCGTCTCCCTCATCCCTCACGCCACAGAGGTCACCGGGCTGTGCGTATGCTCTCCAGCAGAGCTCTCCGTTTGCTCACTCCATCCCTTTCCCTCCTAGTGTTTTTTCCTTGCAAGCTTTGACCATCCTGAGCCAACGTTTCTCTGCAGCTGCAGAGCCCCAAGGAGCATCACTGGTGGCAGAACCCCCCCGTCCGCCCCCTGTGCTCTCCTCCTCCTCCTCCCCCTCTGCACCAAGAATAACAGCACCTCTGCCGAGCATGTTCCTGCTGTCGGCTGCTCCCAGCTCAGCTATTAGTCACTGTTATCGCCGCATGTCACTGGGGAATGATCGCTCCTCCTGCTCCCACGATAAGGGATCGAGCAGGGCTCCTGTGTGAGATGTCAGCCCCAGCGTGGCCGAGGTGATTTATTACAGGAAAATGGGCATGACGGTGGCGTGCGGCTGGGGGGGGGCCCAGCCCAGGAGGAGCACCCTGTGGGACAGCAGGGTTTGAGGAATGCGATGCAGGCTGCTCCCGGCAGCTCTGCACATGCCTCCCCGCAGCGAGCACGCATCCCCACGCGCCACAAATCAGCAGGCTGGCAGAGCCGGCACAGCAGAGCCGGCCACCGCCGTCACCTGCCACCCAGTTGGGGCTAAGCGCAGCAGCCGGTGCCCAAGTCAAACTGGAGTCAGGGGAGCCATCAGAGAAAGGGCAAATAGAGGATCTACTCTTCCCACCCCTGCCAGAGAAGACTCAAAGTGCTCCCCGGACTCCACCCTCTCATCCACCATCCAGGGAAACAGCCCAGCTGCGTTTGGTCCGGACAGCTTGCAAGCTGCCATCACGTTCAGATCCCTGCAGTAGCTCGTGGTGGGATGTAGATCTGAGCCCTCCGGGGTTCCCCATAGGCAGTTTTTCAGCAGTCCCTTTCCCTGGCAGCACAATGCTCTGCATCTTTGAGAGTTTTCTTCTACAGCAAAGCTCTCGTACAGGGCTGTGTGCTTAGCCTGCTTGTGAGCTCTCAGCTGCCATGGCAAGTGCTCCAAAACCCTTGCTTGCCGAGTTTACCTGTAGCATCGAGATCACACACCAATAATGAACACAGCCTCAAAAGAGAGCCGAGGTTTGGCAGTATGCTAGTGCCCATCCTCAGAGCGCTGTGATCCTCAGGTATGGTAAAATGTCTTGAAATATCTTTTATCATCTTTTCCAATTTACCTTTGCCTATCACCCCAGACATGGGTCAACTGTGATGAAAGGAGCTCCCTCAGGACTCAGGGTCTGCTCTCCCCATCTGCCCAGGGTGCGCTCTCCAGATCTAACAGTAAAGTCAATGACCATGGGAGTAAAAGATCTGGCTTGTTATTTGTGCACAGAAAATCACTCACTGCATTAAGCAGTGAGCAGCATAACGAAGGAATACTGGTTTCCTAGAGAGCATTGACCTCTCTTTCATGCCTGTTCCCATCCCAGTAACTCCAGCTGTGTGTGTCCCCTAGGACGGCTGAATTGCAATACTGTTTCTTGTACATAGCACCTTCATTTCTACCTGTGTCCCCAGAGCAGGAGACGGGCAAGAGGCAGGGCGTGCCCTGTTCCCCAGCTGCAGGCGCGCCGTCCGGCTGCCGGGACTGCCTACACTTGCTGCCCACTTGGCAGGCCAAGCCCAGCAGAAAACTACCAAGCTCACACAGCACAACTCCCTCACAAAGGCACAGGTTTCAGTCTTCCTCGCCCCTATCCACACTAAACTTGTAAGACCTTCCATTTCTTTAAGATTCCTGCTTTTCCAGAGTTTGGCTGAAATTGGTCAAAGGGTTAAAGCAACTGTTAAAAGGGGATCTGAGAGGCAGCCAAACAATGTGATGACGGTTGTCTAAAGAAACCACATTGGCAATGCTTCATCATTGCACTAGGGTGCTAAGTCATTCTCTCTTTTTCTTGAGCTCAAAGAATAGTGTATTATTCCATCCATATTGTAACAACTTCCTCTGAAAGCAACCACTCTTGCTTGCATTTACAGACTCTAGGGAGCTTTGCTCCTTAATATACTTCTTAATGTGGGGCATTTTCTGAAATAGGCAATGGCTGCCCAGGAGTTTTGGAGAGCGGAGCACTCTCATCTGTTAAAACCATTGTTTGAATCACAATGTGACAGATGTTAGCTAACTGGGACGGACACGGTGCATTAGGAAATGTATTAGCAGCAGCCAACTAAAGAGAATTATTAAGAATTCACAGATGCCAAAACAAGGAGTTTGCTTAATTAAACAATGTAGCATGCACTTTGCTATGGATATCTACCCTAATTCCTACCCAACATATCCATTTTATTTGTCACATCTGTAATTTCTATCAATTTTGTAATCTAAAACAGAAATGATGCATTGGAATTCATTCATGGAATCATGCAAGACTTTTAATTGCAACTTGAGGAGCAAATAAAAGAAATTACTTTGAGTTATATTACTCTGATTGTAGGAACCTTTACTTATCAAGCACCAATCAACTTTGATGCTAAATATTTGTTAATACTTAAAATTTCCATTAGTATTTCAGTCTAATCATTCATTTTTTCCATCCTTCACTAAATAAGTAAACTGCTTGCAATCTCTCTACTGCTGTTTGACAATCACACCGTGTATTTTTCATCTGATATTTGGAATATGAAAATAAAACCGAAGTGAGAATGACCTATTTAAATCCTAATTCACAATCTTTACTTATACTAACAATCCCAAGGAAATCTGCACATTTCCTGACTAATAATCCCCTCTTTTCACCTACTTTTTTCACTGCTGTGCTACCTTTCAGGAAACCTTATATACTGCTTTTCCAGAGGTGCATCATATTCAGCTCCTCTGGTGCAGAAACAGAGATAGATTCTGGTTTGTACTCAATTATGGCTGTGCAAATAGACAGTTACACATGTGAATCGTGTTTCTGTGGAAGGAGAAATGCGTTAACACGCTGTTTGCTCTGCTATGTTCCCATGCACTAACAGGTTCCTGCAGCCTTTTTCTTGGAGACACGAGCACAGAATCAGTATATCTATGGATCTAAGCAACTTCGGCGCAGACCACTGTGCATAGGCTCTGCAACCAACAGTCCTATTTTCCACGTTAAAACGTGCCACGCAGAAAACGGCAAGTATTGCGGAAAGCCACCAGGGTCCTCCGGGAGGGGATGCCGGCAGCCCAGCGCCCTGACAGTGCTCTCCAGCAGGTTCCTTCTGCGGGAGGAAAGACTCGCAGCCACCTCCCTCGCTCGCTCTCGGCTCGTCAGGTGGCGAACAAACTGCTGCCTGCCCTCATCAGGGCTCTTCATCTGGCTGGGGTGAACTTGGGGGAGCGCTGGTTCACGGTCTCCCCTCTTCTGATAGCTGCAGCGGGCGAAGCTTTTCCCAAAGTCAGATAGCTGCGCACGTGAAGCTAGAAGAAAGAGGTGTGCACCCAGAAGAGGCGCTCTGAGACAACAGGTTTGGCAGGCAGGAAGTATTTTAGGTGCCCGCCGGGGAGGTTAGGCACCTTAGGGCGATTTAGCACACTGCTGCCCACGGGTGGTCTTCTATCTCACACAGGGAGCAGCTGCATCTCCCGCAGAAAAAGAAGTGTGAAATGCTGGGCCAGTGCACCAGCCTAGTTTCCCCAGCCTTGCAAAGGCTGTAGGTATAATTCTTTCCTAACCAAGGCTTCCCTCCCCGGAGCTCCCGGCCACGGTGAGGGCCGC